AGGCATTTGGTAGCCTGCCCGCAAACGTCTCCGTTTGAAGTTTTCAACTTTTATTTAAATTTCGAAATATAACAAAAGATACATTGGGACTGGCCTGCAGTTAGCGAGGCTATTCGAGGCAGGCCAGGCTACATAATTTACTATACTACAAACTAGAAAAATACAAAGAAATTAGACGTTATATAAGTATATAATTATATATTTTACACTTGAGATACTATTCTACTTAAATGCAAGGACAATATTAAAGTGAACTTTTAAAAATTAAATAAAATGAAACTAAAGGACAAGAGAATTACTTTTTCATTTTCACAATGATCGTATCCACATCAATATAGGAGTCTTCAGTTTCAAGGATATCGAGTAGCATTTTTTTAGTGATCTTTTAAAAGCTTTTTTCGGTCTTTCTTTAAGAATTTGAGGTATCCCATTCCTTTTTAATATTCAGAGAAAGTTTATTTGAAGTCAGCCAGTTATACAAGTTGTGTAATTCTGCATTTACTGTTAGTTCCAGTGTCTTTAAATCTTTATGAGCATAAAGAGCGTCTCCCATTTCCATTGTTTCACATGGGAAGATACATTAATGCAGAACTGCCGTCCGTATAGCCTGCGTAGCAAGCGTTTCCCGCGAGGTTCGTCTAGAAAGTTGGAACGAGAGCAAAAAAAAAAAATGAACGACGGGGGAGGGGGAGGGGAACAAAGGAAACGCTTGCCCGCAAACCCCACGATTTTGAAAAACTGCTTTCGCCCACGAACGCAGCTTCTCATTGGCGCGGTGCGGGTAGTGTTCATTAATGAGCATTCGAAACATCAATCAAGCCAGGTATGCTTTGTTTTCGTGCGTCACAGATCTGGTCTCATCTGATTTGTGGCCGCAGATTACAAATGCTTTGGACTGATATTTATTGGAATTAAGGTTTATCGTGTTAATTGGAGATCGAGCAGTGGAGACTAGGGAAGGTTTTATTGAGAATGACAGATCAGAGTTTTTAGGGGAGTTCTTCAAACGCCTATAATTGGAGATCCAATCAACGCAAATAAATTGTTGACAGGCTAAACATGACAAGGGAAGGCCAATTTATTGAGAATGACAGCGAAGGTTTCTTAAAGTTTCGGATTATCTGACTGGAAAAAAACGTGGACTGTTTGTTGGAGATAACATCAACATAAAAACGCCTCAGAACATCGGGACTAGATAACATCAACAAATCAGAACTATAGCTGAAGCCGCCATGGACAATTGATTTGTCAGCTTTTTGAAACGAAAAGATTCTTTTTGTTTATTGGAAATTTAGCGGCATCTATTGTAGAGAACGTTTCGACACAGGCTGCAGAGCAGCCGCTCGGCAAGACTTATACCCGGCGGAGTGAATTGTTCCGGACAAATCATTTTTGACGTGTCGACACGATAAAAACACACAATAAAAAACAAGTATTTCCGCAGCAATCGCTCATAGTTTTAACTTTCTTTTATCGTAAATCATTTTTATTACAGTTCTTGCAATCGCCTGCAACGTGTTCTATTAGAGAAAAAAGTAATTTTACAAATCTGGTAATCCAGGGGTAATCTGTTCGTTTTTTGACGAGCTGTCAATTTACAAATGAACCGAACCGTGAAATATCAAGGGGCGTTTTCCAGAATCGTGGTTTGCGGGCAAGCGTTTCCTCTTCTCCCCTCCCCCTCCCCCTTCAACCTTTTTTTTGCTTCCGCTCTAACTTTAGCGCAATAACTCGATTGGAAACGCTTGTTACGCAGGCTACCGTCCGTACTAATTTTGTAGTAATAAGCAAAGGTGCTCGACAGTTCTCTCTGATCTCCCACACAAGGTAGCTTACAATCCCAATCCTAATTCAGATCAATTAATGTAATTGAATTGGAGCAACGTACAGCAGCAGTAAAGGACGTTCAAGAAGGATTGCAATACATCAAAATGTATGTAGCAGGAGTTCAGCCAAAACTGCTAAAGCATATTTCATTCGACTTCAGAGCAAGGTTTGTAGCAATTTGTAGTGCTTCTAAGGGCCTGTTTACATGGAAATGGGGGACCCCAGGTAGGTGGGGTACCCCCCTGTCCTCATAATCTCTCACTTAAGGTCTCGGTAAAGGAAAACGAGGTGCCCACAGAAAAAAATGCTAGTCGCGCAAGTTATACATCAAATTAAAGCTAAAAGACTAAATTACCTTATAAAGATTTTATTTCATCGAATTTCAAAAGGCGCTTAAGTTTTTTGCTCTCGAACTCAGAGGTGTCGAGTTTACTGCTGAAGCTCCAGCCCTTTCGCGTTGTTAAATATTCACTTCCTTTTTATTGCATCTGATTGACAGATAAAAGACCTAAAAAAGAGTGTGAGGAATTTTCCGATTTCCCTTTGTAACTCATTTTATGTCAGTTTTTTTTGCGTAAATCGCCCTCGAGATTCGACTTTTTAGTTTGAAATGCAATAATTCCGCTAATACGAGACATATGCAAATGTCCTCACACCCTTTTTTTGGGCCTTTTATCTGTCAATCAGAAAGTGAATATTTAACAACGCGAAAGGGCTGGAGCTTCAGCAGTAAACTCGATACCTCTGAGTTCGAGAGCAAAAAACTTAAGCGCCGTTTGAAATTCGATGAAATAAAATCATTTGTAAGGTAATTTAGTCTTTTAGCTTTAATTTGATATATAACTTGCCTTTGTAGCGAAAATACTCGCGCGACTAGAATTTTTTTCTGTGGGCACCTCGTTTTCCTTTACCGACACCTTAATTTGATCACGTTTACATGATAGTTGGGGTAACCGCCACATGTTACCTCACGTGTCTGAGTGGGGTCTCTCCTCCATGTAAACAGGCCCTAAAACTAGAAAGTAAATTTTAAAGAATAGCACGATAGATTAAATCGGCTTCTGTTATATCAAAGACTGGAGTTAATTGTCCCGAATCTTCGAACTGGTGGCTCGTTCTACTTCTGTTTCTCGGTAATAAATTTAGAGATTTACATGTCTTCATAATGCGGAAGTAATGCTTTTGTAGTGATGATTTTAGCCCAAGCAGACTAGCTTCTGATCCTTACATGACTCATGTTATTATCATGACGTGGAATCATAACTCATAGTTGTCAATACATTCTTTTTGTTTGATATCATTAATTATAATAATTATGACCACACACGGGAAGTTAAAACAATCCTTCCTGGAGCTTAAGCCATTTATCTTTCCTGGGCAAATCTGAGTTCCGTGATTGCTGAGACGTTCAAACGATGGGTTGAGTCGGCTCTGGAGAACATGACCTAAGTCAGTTCAAGCGCGCTTAAGTTAATCTCAATGACTCCCAGATATGGGAGAAAAACACCGCATTCAATATGGTGAAGCACATAAAAAACAAATAATTTGACGGGAATGTTGCTACATAAATTTCATTTGACAACACACATAGTAGGGACTTATTCATAGGTGACGTTCTTTGACTTAACTGAAGAGACTGCCAAGTCACGGATTATTGCCTTTAGGGTTCACGAGGTTAATTCAGTGATCGTGGGTGGTGAAGACGTGTCAAACTTTCATGATTGCCTTCTCTTCCGTAATTTGACAATAGCTAGAACATGATGTGTGTCATTTTAGCGTATAAAACCTTCATAAACCTACTCATTCAAGGACATATTCAAATTTTCTTTCGGCAGCGTTCTGGGAACTGCTCGAACAGGATCAAAACTCTCAATTAGTTGATATCACTCAAGAACGAAGCATTCATCAGACGAGTGAAAATGAAGGCCATCTTCATAGTTTTGGTTATGTCAGGATTGTACGCCGGTAAGATATTTCCTAAAATATTAGTAATAACCATTTCAATCTGCTGAGGTGCCTCAATCAATTTATTTTAATCTTTTAGACCCCATTATGACTTATGGGCAAGTGAAAAATCTGGGTTTTTGTCCTAAAGATGGAACAAAATAATATTATGTATATTTCTCACCGTGACGGTAAAGAAATTCGCCAATCTTATCAGCGACTTCATTAGTCTGGCTAGTAACTCGAGCATACAAAGATGAAATAGAAATATTAATCGTGACGGAGTTAAAATAAATTACTGACGATTTATAGTTATTACCTTCTCGAGAAAGAAAATAATGTCAAGAGGAAAATTAATTCAGGAGAAATTATATTCCGCCAATTCTATCGGAATACATAACTATATTAGTCTAGGTATGCAAATGATTCTTTGAAAATAAAAGCTCACCCTGAGCAAGCTGTGCACCTAGCAATCTACTGATTGTGAGAATGAAATACCCTCATTAGAAACCCCGACACTCTCGGAAACTGTTAATTTTAAGTAATTACCATTAATTGGTAACAAAACCTCGTGTCGTCAAATAAAAAATTCGGTTTGTGACTTGTATTAATCGCGATTAAATTAAACAAACCGGACTCCGTTAATCACTCTTAACACTTTTAGATCGCGGAATTCATGCCGAGTCAGGCGGTCGAGGAAACCTGAAACACAGAAACAAAGTTAAACAACTATGATGTGATAACGGACGACTAGGACCATGACAATCGCCTTCACGGGTAGAATTGAAGTGTATGCCAGTGAAGGGGAACAGAACCTACCGTCTAGTTTCTAAGATGGTCCCAATCTTCTGAAAAATAGAGGCAACGGGAGAAGATTTTGACGGTTATATAAAAACTTTCATGGCCTTTAATCGTGTTGGGAAACAGTTAAGCCTGGAAAGAGAGAAAGAGTCAGTAACTTTTCCCGTAACATTCAAAGGTAAACCTGCGTGAACAATTAGATTGAAGCTATCCGAAAAAAAAAAAAAAAGATTCCTCCAAGAGACTTTTCAAAAATAACAGCAGCCAACAAGCGTCTCAGTTATTCAGAAGCGAAACTAGGGTACCACTTTAACATTAAACATGAGATGACCTTCTTTTCAGTTTTCAAAAATACAAAAATATTTTAGACAAAAGACATGATTTTATTACATGCACTCTGAACCCGCTGATACGGAGACTGAGGACGGACGTGTACGTATCAACGGTGTGTCCGTATGAAGCGGGTTGAATTTAGAGAAAACCTAAGGGCTTTCTTTCGCCAGGGACGAAGCGTGAAACGTCTGTCCGTAATAACGCGGAGTCCTTATTAAGCGGATGTCCGTAAAGCTGGATTTGACTGTAATCTCAAACCAGTCTTTGACTCTAGCTAACAGCAAAATCACTTCGACCGTGATTATAAACAAACGCCCTGAGCTCTGACTCAAGCCATTATATGTGTGTGCTATTTCAGGCTGTTCTTTTGCTGCATTGTGCAATCCCAAGAGCTCGAATAGGAGGTGTTGTCTTCCTCAGGACCCAGGCTTGTGCATGGGCTACTTTCCAAGATTCTTTTTCAACGGGACAAGTGAGCAGTGCGAAGAGTTCATTTATGGCGGTTGTGGTGGAAACGAAAACAACTTCGAAAAAGAGGGGGACTGTAAGGCGTCGTGTAAGCCTGGTAAGGAAAATAGGGCATTACTGTTTATTAAAGACTGAAGGAAGGAAACTTTGGCTCTTACGACCAACTTTTTATTGTTCGATATTTCTATCAGTTGTCCTTGATATAGCCTCTCCGGCTGAGACCCTCTCCCTCCCTTTGTTTCTTCGGGATATGTATCGTGCCAGCACATCTCACGTCAGTCTATATTTCAATGTTATCTGTAGAACGAAACTCGGTCTCATCAGAGTTAACATTTCTGCATTTCGAATATGATTTTAAAACATTGAAGTTCAAGATCGCAGAAAACCCCGTAAAGATGAGTGTTTATTCAGCTGTGTTGCAATATGTTTTACCAAGATTCATTAGCAGTAAGTATTTAACCTTCGATGGGAAAACGAAAGCTGCTTAAACATTAGTTTCTTGAAGTTTCCGTCCCTAACGAACTTTGTGTAAACACACAATCTAGAATCAGATATTAGTCATATCCAGCACAATAATCTATTTTAGAGCAATGGAAGTGTTCTCAGCTGCTTTACCATCCTTTGTAAGGTTTGTTTTAACTTGGAGGATATTAGTTGCCAAATTTTAGATAAAAGACTTGTCGAACATAATATTTGAACGGCATTAGCATATCCAGGCCACATATAAGCAAGCTTGTACACCGTACAATTTGAATTACCTCTCCTCAAGAGCGCTTAATTACCTCTGCGAATTACCTCTTCAAGTTATCTCATTGAATTACCTCCCGTTAAGACACAGATCACTGTTGAATTAATTGATTTGTCAACGAGCTAACTACGTGAGAAGATTAGACACATTTGAAGAGTTCCAATTCTTTTGAAATTATCTCCACTTTGCTCTAAGGACAAGTTACTAACGATCCTGTACCTCTGGCATTGTTTGTGACGTTGTCCAGGCAGCCCAGTGAAGTGTTCTACCGAGCTCTAGTCCTATCCCGTCCTTCAGTTATTTCGAACCGTCTATTTATCCAGCGCAACGCCGCGCATTTTTTGACAGTTAAAGACGAAGAACACCCTAAAAATCTAACGTCACTTTATATATACTAAAGCAGTGGATAGTGTTTTTCGCGCGCTCTGACTGGCTACTCAACCTCCGGGTTTTCTGTTTTTGTTTTCAGGTCGTTTGTTTGTTCATTTATTTGTTTCATATAACTAGAAGTGAATTATATAATGCATGCCTGGGGATGATACTGAAACAGGAAACGGAAAATGAGGAACAGGGAACGTGAAAATGAATAAAGGGAAAACAACATAGAATGGGCAATAAAGTTAATGGTAACGCTAGTGTTAAAGTTAGTTTTTGCTCTCATTTTCCTTTTTTCCGCCGTGCTCGCTAGTTCGCCGTTCCCTGTTTTAAAGTTGATTTTGATGTTAATTTGCCGCATGCATTCACCTATTTACTGCCACATGACAGTACCATATATGTCGCAGTTAATTTTTTATGTCAGTTAATTTCTTTTTTCCCTTTGTTTCTAATTCATTAGCAGATATTACCATAACCAAAAACAATGGAAAAATAAAGATTAACTGAGCCTAAAAAATTTACTACAACATATACAACAAGAAATAGGAGTATAAACTCTGTTGCAACTAGCGCATTACTTCCAGCTTGTTACATTTGCGTATTCTGGTTAAAGGTCAGTAAGTTTCACCCCATGTTAGGGAATCCAAGACGGTCTTGGATTCTGGATTCTACTCTGTGGATTGTGGATTCCAGCTACTGGATTCCAGTCTTTGTCAGTGGAAGTTGATTCGGGATTCCAATTTTAGCGGGATTCCGGATACCAAAGCCCAGGATTTCGGATTCCACGAGCAACGTTTTCCTGGATTCCGCAATCGGGATTTTCTTTATACACGGGGCGATACATATGATTTTAAATCAACATCATTTCCTCGGCGTTTTTAAACATTTGACCATTATATTCTATCTATATTTTCAGCTTCAGCTCCGAATCGATGTTACCTAGAGAAGAAAGTCGGACACTGCAGGGCAGCCTTTGATCGATATTTTTACAACAAGACAACACGCAAGTGTGAACAGTTCACTTATGGTGGATGTGATGGCAATGCCAATAGGTTCATGACACTCGAGGAATGTCAGAGTTTCTGCAAGTGTAAGTACAAGTAACTGTTTCTTTTGTTTCACAAAGAAGGGAAACATAGAAGAATGTAGAATTATTTGCGTTGCTCTTTGGCCATTTGTCTTTTTTTTTTGTGAGGTTTTAACAAGGTTTTGTTGGTTGGGGCTGGGATTTAACAATGCAGGAACCAGATGAATGATTATTTAGCACAGCCGTTCTTTTCTCTGAGTTTACCCACTTTTAACAAAACAGCGTTCTAAGCTATTTTTAATTTTCCCAACGCTTTTAATAAACACTATTTATTGTAAGCATTTTCATGAAACCATATAGCGTAGACTAAAAAAGCGTTTTTCTTCTTAAAATAAATATAACCCACTGAGGAAGTGATCTGATTTCTTAAACCGCTGCCTGGGAGCTTTTACAAATAATAGACTCTAAGTGTTGTGGGTATAACGTGAAGGCTGATATAAAGCCGATAGCGTTTATTTCAAAACTTCTCAGTTTTATATTTAGGCAGCAATTAACCTACTGGGATCGATATATAATTGTTTACGCCATTTTAAAGGTAACCGAGCAAAACCATTATTCTTGACCTCGATTTTCGTTTGCGTTTTGGTTGTCTATTTGAATAAAAAATGAATTCTGTTAAAGGTAGTATTTACTCACTTTGTGGAATAAAGAGGACAAAAGATTCCGGGATTTCGTTCTATCCTTTTTATCCAGCTCGCTTCTTCCAAAACAGACTGAAAGACTGCTTTAATTTATTTTCTTTTTCTTATTGCAGCTAGCCTCGTGTGAATGATACGACCTCTTTCTAAATGGTGATCGGAGTTACTGACCATCACATGTCAAGAACGAAGTAACGACGACGATATATTTGCATCGTTCCTCTATTCTTGAAATAAAATGAAGTAGAATGAAATAAAGCAGAATTTAATTCAAATATTTTCAAGAGTTGTGGATTTAGCTTATAACTAAAAGGTAATGTTCCAGCCATTTCACGTCCCTCGGATATTTCCTGGTATTTAAAATGAGTTGGTTATCGAATTCCCACTCTCCTGGTCAAAAATGGTATTTTCAATGACTACAAATTTACTTCAAGGAGCATGTTCAATGCCAGTTAGCTTCATTCCGTGTCTAAATGTTGTCATTTTCCCCACAAACTCCTTTGTGCCGCTAGAATAAGACTGAGGTTTTTAACAAAGCCGCCATCACTTCTGCCTGTGGCAGAAGTGACAATTTTTCAGCAATTTGTGGACTAATTAAACAGAAAGGAACACTTGAATAGAACATCGGTGCCAATGTTGTAAAGAGTAGAAAAAGATAATTAGTCTTTTCAGCTTAGGTATAAATGTAATTTGAATCATAAAGCAGATTGCAGACTCCACAGTTTCTTGGATAATTTTCTTCAGGCGAGATGTATTATTCTGAATCAACAAATTTTACAAATACTGCGTACTTTTTTAAAAAGGAAATTGCTCGCTTTTTCTGAACTGGTTTTCGCAATTTTTACGCCTATTATGTTAGTTGTGTATGAGGCACAGAAAAATACTACCCAAAAACGTATCATAACCTCGGCAGGGTAATTAGAATTTCGCAAATTTAAGGAGCTTTAAGGTCCTGTAAATGTTTGCACATTATTTATCGTCACTGAAAAAAGCTGAGATAAGATATTACTTAAAATAATTTTAAGAAGTTTTAAAAATGTTTAAAACATGTCGACGTTTCGATGTTAGCTCAGACTTCATTGTCAAGTTAAAAGATAATGACGTCCAAGACAGCCAAAACGTCGTCATGTTTTTAGCATTTTTTATTTGAAATTTCTTGACAAAATATTGCTTAAAATCATTCCAGGAAATTTTGAAAAATTAAAAAAAAACGTTCAAAAAGTGACAATGTTTCGACGTTCTCAACTTTTTTGTCAAGTCGAAAGATAAATACGTTTGAGAATGCCGAATTAACGTTTTAGTTAAAATTTGTTAAAATTGTCTGATAATAGTAATAATGATAATAATAATAATAATAATAATAATAATAATAATAATAATAATAAAGGCTATTATTTATACAGGATAACCTATCAGTGCTATTAAAAAGAACTGTTAACAAAAGGGTCCTGTAACTAAATAATAGATAACTAAAAAATAAAAAAAAATAAAATCGAAAAAGTGGAAAATAAAATAAAATAACACTAAGAAATCTAAGACTCAAAAATCAAAATCTGTAAAAAATATTGACTTATAGGATAGAAAAGAGTTGAATTATAGAATACTATTGAAAAAACTCTTTTAAATTACTCTTAAAAAGTAACCTAGAACTTAAATATATTAAATGCTGAGGTAAAGTATTAATAACTAGAGCCCCTTGATAGCAAAACCTCTCCGTCCAAATTCTAATTTGGCTTTGGGAAGTTTTAGTGAACACCCATTCTTTCTAGTGTTAATGTTGTGTTCAATTTTTGTAAAATATCCTTTAAAAGGGGTACAGACGTTATTATGAAGACAATCAAACACAAGCTGGCAGGACTGTCTCTTTATTAAACTCTCCACTTTCTGGAATTGATAATTTCCACCAATGCAATGACTTTCTGACTTCGGCGTTCAATGCTTTCAATTCGACTTATACGGGAACGTCACCAACAGATACCCAAAGTTCCACAATACAAAAACACAGGTTGAATCATTGCTTTGTAGATTTTAAGGAAACTCTTATCGTAGTTTTTTTTTACGGCCAAATGTTTTTTAAAAGTTGTTTCTCTTTAATCATTGGACAGTCATATGGGACAGTCATAATGTGATAATATGTACATGTTATTTAACTACAAATATAATCAGTTCACATGTATGTAACCCATAACCTTAGAAAGTGAAAAGGTGATTTGTTTGTCCGGATGTTTAGATATATATTTAAACATCTATCTGTGTAGATAAGAGCATTAAGCACATTTTAAATGTATCGCATTATTCATTCAGTTTAACCAGGTAACATTAATTTTACTTCAGGTAACAATTAAATGTGGTAGTTGTAAATTCCTTATTTTAAGTGATTACGTCGTTAATTCGAATCAACAAATTTTTCGTAACGGATTTCACTATTAAAAAGTTAAAAAAGAGCAACGTCTCGACCGTTCGATGGTCATTTTCAAGTTTAGAAGTAAAAAAAAAAAAAAAAAAGCATGTTCTTTTATACAATTGTGAAAAGGCTCATGAGATACTGACTAAAACTCTGAAATACACTGTTAACACTTCGAAAACGTTTGTAAGTACGTGAAAGAAACTTACATTCATAAACAGAGCTCTATACAGAAACTTGCAGAGCGAGAGGAAAATTTCCGAAACTCCAGTAACTCAGTTTCCTGCGCCAAAACAATGTAAGTACCATTGTATGTTTACATTTTTATTTTATATAATTACCATTAGATAGTAGAAAAATGATTATGTAGACAGATGTTTAAATATTGGTCACCTTTCTTCAAAAATGACTGTAAAGAGTACATTTTAAGATAATGCCTGACTCGCATTGTAATTGTATTTAACTGAACGGATTCTAATTGGCGATTAGTGGATAGTAACCGCTAATCGCCAATTAGAATCCTTTATTTTCTTTAGAGTTTCATAGAAGATGTAAGAAATAATTTAAGAACAGGAAACGAAGATGATTTATTTTTTAGAGCAGCATATTCGTAACAAAATATCACCCTCTTTCAAATAATTTTTCATTTATATAAATATGTAGCAAAAAAGGAATAATTGCTTTATTAAATTCGTTTGTTTAATGATAGACCCGTTGTTGTCGACTTATTTTTAATTGTATATCAGTCTTTTCATGGGAATGCTTCGAAATAGACTTTTGTATTGTATTGTATTTTCTCCATACACTTTTACTATGTTTTGCTCAAAGATATGCTGGAAACGTTCGTTTTGGTCATCATTACACAGTGTGAAAGTAATTTATAACGCGAAAGCATGGACAATAAAGTTAATTTTTTGTGTGTATTAAGAAGCGTGAAACTGAAACAAAGCACATAGGCCAATATTATGAAATGTGTATTTCCTCTATTGATTAGCTAGGAAAAGAATAATATAACATCTGTTCAGACGAATTACTTTTGACGGTGTAAATTTATTGATAAAATGGGAGTAAAATATTACAGGTTAAAAAGTTATAATAGCCTTTTCAAACAAAACCAAGGTGGTAACAAATAAACAAACGAAACAATATAAGGGTGTAAGAGGTATTAATCCTTTATTCCCCCACAGCTGTGTCAATGACAACGTTCTATAAAAAGGAACAGTTATGTTAACTATACGGCCAGTTCACCGGAAATACACCGAAGTAGGATGAAGTTAATTCTGTTTACCCTGGTTATAGCATTTCTGTGCAAAGAAGGTATATATTCATGTAATGTCTTAATTAATGAATTATGATCATTCGAAACAACGTACCAACGAAAACGTTTGTTATTTATTTGGAAAACAACGCCCTTTTTGTGGACGTCAAAAGACAAAGCCTAACATCTTCTTTTTTAGAGATTAATGGTAATAGTTAAAAGTTTAGTTGAAAGTAATATTTCATATTTATGAGGTATGCGTTGGTGTTCTAGATCTTGAAGCAATTCAATTAAAGCGTTGTATAATAAACGTCTAATGAAATGCATCTATACTGACAATACATAAATGGTTTCAAAACCTCCAGACTATTGATTGTAAGGCAAGCCATTTCTGAGCTTTGACGAATCGAAAAAACATACTCTTTTGGAATTCTTAGGCGCTTTTGAAATAGCTAACGAGTTGCACCGTCCTTATTTGATTTCAACTGCTAAGAAAAGTGGTCTCTTCAACCACGATTCTATGAAATTTTGGAGATAAACGATTAACTGTACATGTGCGTATAGAGTCCTTATTTTGTGCAAAGCTGTACATGTTAGACGCAGTCGTTTAGGTTTTTTTTGATATTCTATGATTTATTTATTTTAGGCACCTGTATCCCGTCCGAGGACATTGAACCAAGACCAGGTAAGTTCTCTGTTGTACTTTTGTAATTTTAATTAAAAGGCAAGTCATTATCTATTGCCTTTTTTAAGGCACGGACAGGGCCAATGGCTGTAAAATAAGTGGCCTGGTTAGAATCACGTGTAAGACTTCGATCAAAGTTTTGGCAAATAGATGAAAAAACTGTCTACCTAGTGAAAGCATGAACGAAAGTCGGATTAAATACCCGTTGTGTCACTTTAGTACACTAAAACCTCAAAACTAAGTAAAGAGGATATCCGATTTAAGCAACCCCACTTACACAAATTACGCTATTTCTTTCCTGTTCTCCCATCCCTAACATTTTACATGTATTTCTATTATTATCCATCTTTTTCCAATTTGTTTTTCTTTTTCACATGATCAACTAGAGATATGCAATCTACCTCCCAAGAAAGGACTTTGCATGGCATGGATTCCTCGGTATTATTACAACACCCGCACACATACCTGCAAACGTTTCATCTATGGCGGATGTCAGGGCAATGCGAACAACTTCGAAACAATTGCCGAATGCAAGAGCTCATGCATGGGTAAGAAACCAATATGCATTATTTAAAGGCAAACCAGAAGACCAGATTATCTTAGTTATATTAGTAATTCACTTACTGACAAGCCACGGAGCCTACTGTTACAATTTTTACTATCATCTGAAAATTTACTACCACTAACTTGTTGAAAGAAATATTTGCAAGGAGCAAAATTGTGCAAACCATTTTTTCCTCCAGTGTTTGATTTCTTCAAGGGTAAGAGAGTGTCAAAAGGAGTAAATCCACCATATAGGTTCTAGTTTAGGCAAGTATTTCTTGACTGAAAAAACCTCGTCGCATATTTGGATATAAACTTTCTTAAAAATGATTTTGAAAAATAATTCTAATTCCATATGATTTAATCATATATGAATTTTCGCTATTGTGAATCTTAAAATATCTTGAAATAGCCCAGAGCGAAGAGTTCCTTAAGAATGATTATAGCTTCATTAAACTAGAATCTCCCTCGTCAAGACTGACACGCCCTTCCTCGTAAAGACTTTTGTTCTTGGGCCATCGTTGCTTGCGTGAGTAATAGAACCCAAACAGTGGTGATAAACATATTCAACGTAGTCATTTTTATAAACTTGACGTTTCGCATGCTACTCAACATACATTTTCAAAAGTACCGTTACAATTTTGAAATCTATATACTTACTTTCTATGGAGCTAAACATCAGCAAAGTAATTACTTGTAGATGATTGTATCCCAGAAATTTTGTTTAAATTTACAAGCAACCGACAGCAGCTTTACAGAAGAAGATAGATTGAAAATTGTCCTCCTAAACAGTTTTTCAGAAGGCCAAAATGATATTTTGTTTTAATCCTTTTCGATTTTTTTCATCCGTACATTAAGCCATTGATGTTTTTGGTTTACATCTGAATTTTGCTAAATTTCATCTCGTTAAATTTGGTTTGGCCTGCTCACTCTATATAAACCTGGAGACGATTTCATTTCTTTTTTCAGCTGACAGTGAACTGGAAACCTGCAATCTCCCCCCTGAAACAGGACCTTGCAAGGCTGCGATTCCTCGGTATTTCTTCAATCCTTACACTCATGAATGTGAACGTTTCACTTATGGTGGATGTCAGGGCAATACAAATAACTTCAAGACTCTTGAAGACTGCGAAAAGTCGTGCGCACGTAAGATCGCTATGAACATTTGATTGCTATATAGAATGTAATTTTTCTTATCTCAAACAATAATATTTCTGCCTCATTGGTCATTCGATGCTGGCCACATTGTTAGTAGAGAGCATTAGATTCTAAAGCGAGGACGACTACGCGAACGAACTTTTCTTGATACTGAGTAGAGCGCGCGTGAACTAGGCTGCGTCATTTTGGCGGGAAACGCCATAGCCTTTGACGTTCTGCTACAGGTTTTGACGAAAATGTCGTATTGGCGAAAAAAGGCTTTCAAATGGTAGAAGTTTTATCATTATGCGTTCTTGAGAGGGCTTAACCTCCCTCAATAGAAATATCCCTCTTAATATTTCTGGTGCAAAAAGTAAAATTGAGATTTAGCGGATGTCTATTAGTTTCTGAGAAAAAACGAAAAAAATATGAGTCAAATCTCGTCCTCGAAACTAAAGGTCTCTTTTAACAATTCCTCATTTTAAGCTCCTCGATCAGACGTTGAAGTAGAAAGCTGTAATCTACCTCCAAAGTCTGGGCCCTGTAAGGCAGCCATACCTCGTTATTACTTCAACCCACGCACCTATAACTGTGAGCGATTCACCTATGGTGGATGCCGCGGCAATGCTAATAACTTCAAGACTCTTGAGGAGTGCAAGGCTTCATGCTTGCGTGAGTATCTCTGTATTATCTATGTAAAGATTGTTTTCACTTGACGTCACAGCGGCCATTTTATTTGGTGTACAAAACAATGAAACGGCGGCCATTTTGCTGCTGCGGTACCGAAAAAGTCACGCGGGGATTAAATCATGTAAAAAAAAAAAAAAAAAATTTGCCTAAGAAATTGCATAGCGCTGAACACGTGGGTTAAAACGACCTAAAATGCCTTGTCGCAGGACAAATTGCAATTTTTTTTCTTTTTCTCGCATACGTCACTTTCCATTTGGGGAAACGAAAATTCTTTTGAAAAAGTAAAAAGTCTGCGTATTAATTAATAAAATAAGAAAAGTTGCTTTTTACTTGTACAAGTTTATCCCAAGTTACATAAGAGGGAATTAAAAACTCGTGAGGCCGAAATTTACCTGAACCTTTTTTCGAAATTTTCAGCTTGAAGGTTTGTTGTCGAGAATTTCCCACTTTTCAGTATTACTCGAAACATTTCTTGCAAATTTCGCTCATTTTCTCGCGTTTCGAAATTCCGGAAATCTCGATCATACAGATAGCGCCTAAACTAGCAGAAAGTATCAGTGATATGCTCCTACACTGTACGTCTTCTAGGGTGTTGGTAAGAATGCTCATGGGCAAGGGGGCGGGAGGGTAAAACTCAGGTTTGATAGAGTACTAAAGTGATGACGTCATAAAAATGAAATTTCTGAAATTATGGGATTTGTCAGGATATTCTGAAAGGACAATATCCAAGAGGCCTACTTGCCAAAAATGAGCATTTGGGGGCAAATTGTCTCTGAGATCGTAGCCCAGTTATACTCAGAAAACTCCATACAAACCCTTACAATTTTTTTTTGGGTCGACCCGAAAAAAATTTAGAAGGGTTTGTATGGAGTTTTGTAAGCATAACTGGGCTACGATCTCAGAGACAATTTGCCCCCAAATGCTCATTTTTGGCAAGTAGGCCTCTTGGACATTGTTCTTTCAGAATATTCTGTCAAATCCCATAATTTCAGAAATTTCATTTTTTTGACGTCACACTTTAGTACTCTATAACCCTGCTGTATAAAGAGCCACGTGTTCCCGAAATCTCGCGCTAGGAAACACTGGCTCTCCTCGTTCCGGGTGCTTGACTTACTGCAGTTTCAACTTGAACGGCACGGGTGAAAACCAATTGCTTAGCCCTGCAGGGAACGCAAGTCAAGAAATCATGAATAGTGAAACCTAGCAAAGGCCTTTTGCGCCAGTAAGCGTGAAGAGTTTGTCTGTGATGTGTTTCTTACCAGATTGTGCTGTGTAGCTTCCCTTTCAGACAGTCAAGAGGCAAGCTGCAACCTCCCTCCCGAAAAGGGACGCTGTATGGCCATCATTCATAGGTATTACTACAACCCGCGCACTCATAATTGTGAACGTTTCATATATGGTGGATGTCAGGGAAACGCGAACAACTTTGAGACTGTTGAAGAGTGCAAGATGTCATGCATGCGTAAGTGTATAATTCTCTGTCTTAAACAAAGCGATATAACTTCTGCCTTAACTTGTCGTTCCTAACAATTTGCGATGTGCATACCAATGCAGTTAACCAACCTTAAGTCCCTCCAGTCACCTAATCAGAAGAATGCGGCTTTTTAGAGTTTTATAGGAAAGAAAACTCAGTACAACTCGGTAATGAAAAGACAATTACGATTTCATTTTAACAAAAAAGCACCACTTTGGAACTTGAAACATCTTTCTGTTTTGCATAACATTTTATATATGTTTTACATAATATTTATTTATCTATAGCCATGAACTTTTCACCGGAATTGTTGTCAGTGATTTAAGAGATTTGTATTTGGAACAAACGTCGCCCTTGATCTCAGAAACGTTAAGAAATTAATGAACGCTGAGGCGTTTAATTGAGTAAGTGCGGAAATTGGGCCGCATTCTAGAGACCGCCGACACGGCTGGACGAAAGATAGGAGAGAAATCATTCAGTCGACACTTTTAAATAAGGTTCTAAAAGCTCTATTCGAGAAAACAAGCTCGACCTACTATTTGGCGTTTTTTTTCAGGCGACAGTGAAATAGGACACTGCAACCTACCTCCAAAAACTGGACCCTGTAAGGCGGCGATTCCTCGGCTTTTTACAACCCACGCACCCATGAATGTGAACGTTTCACTTATGGTGGATGTCAGGGCAATGCCAATAACTTTAAGACACTTGAAGACTGCGAGGATTCGTGTGCTGGTAAGCACATATTAGTCAAGTTAGGATTGATTTCTACTGTCTTGTTATTTTCACGTGCGCACGCACGTAAGTTGTACAGAGGCGATGTATGAATTATAGGCTGCGCGTGAGCGTGAAAGTTGAGCAAGGTTCAAATCTAACGTTTACACGTGATCTTCCATACATTGCCTCTATTCAGAACTGAAGAAGTGTTCAAAAATGGAACAAGACGTCAGTGCTTCGATCGACAAACCTTGCTTTTTACAAATGCCAGTGAAGTCTCGAGAGTTTTACGGATCAAACATTTTTTATTGCTGGTTTTCAACCACGTGACAAGGCTACCATGCTGGTGTACAAAACCATAAAAGTTTTCTTCGCAAAATTTGCGTGTAGAAAGAGCTTTGTTCCCAGCAGAAAGATTATCTTTCGTTTTCGTCCACCAACGAACATGGCCGCCGTGACGTCAGCTGAAAACCAGCAATACATTTTTGAAACGTTTTCAGAGTCAGAAACTGTTTGTCGATAGAGAATTTTTCATTTTAATTACATTTTATAATAACGTTTTAAGGAAGTAGAACTTTATCCTTGCCAACAGACTGACCTCAAAAATTGTATGGACGATACTTTTAAATCCATTAATAACACATATATGAAAAATTATAAAAAAATTGGTTTTCTTATCTAATTTCAGGTTCAAGCTGAAATACAATTGCAATGTTGCTTCAAGTGTTATCAACAAGATTGAATTGAATCCCAATTTCCTTCCCTTAAATGTAACGTTATGAAACTAAATAAAATATGTGAAGTAAAAAAGGAAATTACTTTAAATTAACCAGAAGTGTCTTAATTGCTTTCTGATAAGCTCCCAATTTTCATCTTCCGTTTCTTTCGATTTACTTAACCCTATTTAGACTGGGGGGGGGGGGGGGGGGGGGGCTTTTCGAAGCCCCCTCCGGCAAAATCGTGATAACTCCTACACCGAAAGAGCTATGACGTTCAAATTTTCTGACTTTTCTTAAAATTTATCCAGGAACATTTTGGTATAATTACCATGTCCATGTGATTAATCATGTTGCCATGGCAACCAGTTTCTGACACATAGGTTTTGGAAAATTTAAAAAATGGTGATTTTTTTTGTTTTAAGATCGCGTTTTTACACTTATAGTGCTTTTTGTTGTTAAAATAGTCTTTGCTTGGGACTAGTTTTTGAATTACATCAAAATGTTTCAACATAGAATATTTGGGGGAGGAGGGGTGGGGCAAAATTTGTCACTTTTTTGCTTTGACACATATGCTGCTCTATTTTCCAAATAACACTTCCAAAGTCATTTGTTTGGGTAATAAACATTAGTTTGATACTTATAATTTTAACAAAAAAACGGAAATCCAAGATGGCAGGTCCAAGAAGGTGGATCCAAGATGGCGGACAACCATTTCAAATTTTAAATTTTATTGCTTCCTATTGCTTTTTCTCGCTGTACAAGTGTTTCCTTGTTACTAGTTCATAAGAAAGGTTAACAAAGAGATGACTTTACCAATATTATTGATATTTTACGTATCTAAGTGGAAAAATAATAAGAAACATTGAAAAATCGGAATATGACGTCACTGTGACGTCATCGTTGGGCGTGGCAAGTCAAAACTGAGTGTGGGGCTTCTTTGTACGGAGATAATCATTGTATGTAAATTTCATGACCCTAGCATTATTGGTTCCAGAGTTACAGAGGGGGGGTAGAGCCCCGCCCCCAGTCACAGATTGACAGATTGACCAAAAAAGCCCAGTCTGAATAGGGTTAATTAGATGAACAAAAAGGGAAAACGTAAATATTCAGTGAATTCGTACTAGCGGCCTAAACGAAGTGTCACGCGCCACAACCACCAGTCTAGAATAAGGTGACAAGGGAATTTTTTTTCTTTTTTTTGGTGAATTTTGAGGCTTATACCTCAAAAGAAACTATCGCTACGACCACCGAAAATTAGAAGGATTTGAAATTGCGAAGGGGAAAAAGCTCTTACCTCCCATGCACAGCTCTCTAGCATATAAACCTTCGTAGATTTTGAAATTTTAAAACCTTCGTAAAATATCGCCCTTACGCACTACACGCTGCAACGCTCTTTCTATAGTCTCCCTGATAATTAAGAGTGCGCATCAAACGGTGCTGCTAATAAAACCACTTTTCCCATTTTTTGAAGGGGGCTAGCTCAGCTTTTTATGATTCGGCAAAGCTCAACCATTGGGCCTTGTATTCACTGAACACGAGACACACAGCTATAGCTATCGCCTAGGACTTTGTCTTAACAGAAATTTTCTGCTTAGTTTTGGGGAGAACTAGGCAATTTTTTAATGATAATTTCTCGATCATGAAAATTAATTACATTTTTATACAAAAGTTGCTGGAAATTGGAAGCTACCAAAGCTTTTCCCAAGTGACATTCTTTACTGTGTGATCTAGTGCACTACGCTTAAGAGAAAATGGTTGATTTAATTGGTTAACCATCTGAGTTAATGCTTAAAAAAGTGTATTTTCCTAATATTACACAGTTTGTCCTGTTTTTCAGAATTTTTGTTTTATTTTACAAAATTGTACCCTTAAACGATGTCATCTTGCCTCTCGCGCCTCTGCCTCGCTTACCTTGCCATCAAGTAATCTTCGTTGATCCATGATGGCCTTAATTTTTCGTGTTAACTTTTTTTAATAGATACGTTACGTAGTTTTCCTCATTTAACGTCATCTTCTCACAAAGATATTTGACAAAACTTGAAGCATGCTCATAAAGTTTTATATCGACTTCTCCATGTCTTGATTTGTTTCCTGTGAATCAATGCATTCCGCCTCATGTTCATTAACCTTTTCCCGTAGCTGTTGGACCTCTTGAAAAACAATTCTGATCTCTTGTTTAGCGTAGAACAATTGAGCAGTCTAAACGTTTCCTGGTTTCAGTGTCACTGATATCTCTACAGATTCGGCGAAGAATAAGGCCAAGAGTACAGTTTGCTGTCAGGGAGATCTGATTTATGTGTTGAGACCACTGAAGGTGCAGAAAATTTGCGGAAGAGTTATCATCGAAAAGACACGAGCTCTCTTAATTATTCAAATCACCACTGTGATTGAGTTAAGGTTCATTAGGTACCTTTTAGAGGAGGTCAAACTGATGTCTTCAAGCACTTAATATCGACTTCCTATGCTTTTGAGCGTATGCTTTGCTCGTCTGTTTTTATTTTTGAGACAACTAAAATTACTTAAGAGAAGTTTCAAGTTGTCGAAGCAAACAGAATTGGCTGTAATGAGGTGTCACCCACCCGCAATCAACAGTTTTCCCGCCTTGTTTACAAGCATAATCTTCGTACCGTGTTGCCGTTTGTTTAGACAGAACATTAAACAAAACTTCAATTGGATCAAAAATAGAGCCAGTTAGAAAAAGCATATATATGCTCAAAAACATAGACAGGTTTGGTTCTTGAGGCCACTTGGTCAAAAAGAATTTTTTTCAATAGTGCAAAATGAAAATCTTCGGAATATTGACAGACTCTGCTTGGAAACATCTATCCGGTACTTTTAAAATATAGCTTCACTCAGTTCATGCGACAGCTCCGCATTTGTGAAAAGAGCTTCCGCGACAATCGCGCTTTAATGAAGGTGTGGAAATTTTCAGGAAGTTGGTTAAGACAGATTTCCTTTTTTAAGCAGTGTTTTAGTAGCGGTTAAATGCTATCTACATTTTAAATATGTCAAAGAATAAGCCGAGATTTTATACGTTAGTATTTGTTTTGTTAAGAGTTCTACGCACTAAGACTTATAGAGAATAAAATATTGATTTTAAAGCGTTATTGATCTGTCTTTGTAAATAGCGCGTTAGAAGGAATAATTTATTATTCTCCTTCTTTCATCCTCCTGGCTCTTTTTATCTCCTTTCCGTTTCCTTAGTTACTGTGATTTCGAGCTTCTCGGGCGCAATATTAACAACCGGCCTCTTGTCCCTTTTTCAATCAAATGACTGCAAATTTCGTTAGGCTCGTTTTCAAAAAAATCGGCTAAATATACATGTATACTATCAACTCAACGCAGAAGAATAAAACCAGAAACTAAAAATGTTGCTGGTAACGAACTCAGAGTGCAGTCGTTGCTTTTCTGTTCTTCTCGTCCCTCCATTCTTATCCCCTCTCGGCGAATAAGGCCAAGAAGTACGGTTTGCTCTCAGAGAGATGTGATTTATGTGCTGAGACCACTGAAGGTGCAGAAAATTTGCGGAAGAGCTATCATCGAAAAGACAGCTCTCTTAATTATTCAAATCACCACTGTGATTGAGTTAAGGTTCATTAGGTACCTTTTAGAGGAGGTCAAACTGATGTCTTCAAGCACTTAATATCGACTTCCTCTGCTTTTGAGCGTATGCTTTGCTTGTCTGGTTTTATTTTTGAGACAACTAAAATTAGTTAAGAGAAGTTTCAAGTTGTCGAAGCCAACAGAATTGGCTGTAATGAGGTGTCACCCACCTGCAATCAACAGTTTTCCCGCCTTGTTTACAAGCATAATCTTCGTACCGTGTTGCCGTTTGTTTAGACAGAACATTAAACAAAACTTCAATTGGATCAAAAATAGAGCCAGTTAGAAAAAGCATATATATGCTCAAAAACATAGACAGGTTTGGTTCTTGAGGCCACTTGGTCAAAAAGAATTTTTTTCAATAGTGCAAAATGAAAATCTTTAGAATACTAACAGACTTGTTTGGAAACATCTATCCGGTACTTTTAAAATATAGCTTCACTCAGTTCATGCGACAGCTCCGCACTTGTGAAAAGAGCTTCCGCGACAATCGCGCTTTAATGAAGGTGTGGAAATTTTCAGGAAGTTGGTTAAGACAGATTTCCTTTTTAATGCATTTTTTTGGTAGCAGTTAAATGCTATTATCTACATTTTAAATATGTCACTGAATAAACCGCGATTTTAATGGTGGTATTTGTTTTGTTAAGAGTTCTACACTCTTTTTCCCTTCATTTTCTTTTTGTGGTGTCGTTAAATCGTTTTACCCACAAAATCGCGTATTCGTTCTAATGGCCAGAATGTTTCACTTCGAAGGCATGTAATCAAAAGTACAGCTTGATGTTTCCAACGAACTCTGTTAGTAGTCCAAAATATTTCATTTTGCACTATGGCCTCGGGAACAAAACCTTCGTATGCTTTCGAGCGTATGCTCAAATTCCTAGTTGATTCTATTTTGATGCAACTGAAATTTCATTGAGTGTTATCTCTAAACAAACGGCAACACGGTACAAAGATTATGCTTGTAAACAAAGCGAGAAAATGTTGATTGCAATTGGTATCTTATTATAACCACGATAAAAGAAAGGCATATGCTTGAAATCATAGGAAGTGGATAGGACGTAGGAAGTGGTTCAAGACATCAGTTTGACCTCCTCTAAAAGGTACCTAATGAACCTTAACTCAATCACAGCGGTGATTTGAATAATTAAGAGAGCTGTTTTTTCGTGAATTTTCGTGCACGTGATGTTTACGCCAATTTTTCGCTATAAAAGGAGCTACATTCCCTGATAACTGTATTGTCTCTTCCATAGCCACAGTAGCGAGGCATTACTGAAGATACCAAGTCGTCGCCGTAGATAGAAAAGGTAAGCAAGGAGCAAGACAACATTTCTCGGCTTTCTTTCTTACAAAAGTAATAATAATAATAATCAATTCTTATGGAAGGTGATCTCAATTCTGAACTGTACTTTTCATGTTTTGTAATGTATTTATTACTAGTTATAGCTATCGCTAAGTGCCAAGGAGCAAAGATTTTACCTATACGCGCGCGCTGTTCAATTTGTTTTGAAATGTCATGAATTACCGTAATTCACGAAAAGTATTTTGAACTCAATTCGATTGCATAAGCGTAAATTAACTTGAAAATAGTGAACTAAACTATTCTACTGCATAAAGAATTTGAAATCCCAACTTTATTGCAATAGATATTGAAATTCGATCGTTTTTTGTCCGAAGTTTCGCACAGGTCATTCTGCGTAAAATTTAATTGTCTTATAAGCAAACTTACAACCCTCCAAAATCATAAGTCCGGGAATATTCAAAGTACAGATTTTTATCTGGTCTCTGTTTAAAGCTTAGGAAAATCTACTTTCTAGAAATAAAAGATTTATGGTGCGCCGATAAAACATACCGAGTTATTTGTCTTGAAAGACGCAGAAATTTTTCCTGCGTTATTTTTTTTTTCCTAGCATGCGCGAGCGCTATTATCAACTCTTGTCTAGGGAATTAAGAGACAACTTTTCTCCATATAAACGGGGCTTTACAACACACAAACAAAGAGGCGTATGCGAATGCTAACTTGTTAGAGTGTCTGACTATATTCTTGGTTTTCTAAAAGTTTTGTCAACTTTCTGAGTTCTAGCGGAGATCTCGCGCGCAGCGGAGCACAATGGGGTAAGAAAATTTGGTAATCTATACATCCAAGAAATTTTGGTTCTGAGAAAATCGTCGGTACGGGGTAGTCCGTACGTACGTCCACCGCTTCATGAAAGCCGGGATGAGATGTTGCATTTCAAGCACCCACGTGTTTCGGCGGTAAATCGCATAGCTTCCCGGCCTTTTAGATATAAAAACAACAAAAGCCGATTCTTTCTTTCGACTTAATTTCATTTTCTACATTAAAGTGGATAACAGAGAAAGAGCTAGAGCGAGAGATAAACCAAAGGAGACCAATTTCGTTGGAAGAAAAACATAAAAAATTTATAGCGGTGGTGAGTAAAAGGGGAAATGCTAGCTGCCACCAAGATGAAAATGAGCGGCAGCGCGAAAAAAACCCATACAACATTTCCTCCATAAAACGTGTAATTAGGAAGTTTCTGGAAGTTTCACGTTGTAGTCGTGCAAAAACAACGGCAAAGAAATGTACAAAAAGAGCGTCCAAATTTTTGTTTTTGCTAATTAGAAAAAAGTGTGCTACACGTGCAAAGTTTTTTTTTTGGCTAGTTAGACCCACTGATTTTTTTGGCTGTTTTCGTTGTCTTCGCAGCTTGGCGTTACATGATTTTATATTTTGTTTAGTAAACTATAAACGATTTTAACTAGAGTTTCGCTTTTTGCCCTGGCTAAATCTATATATTAGTTTTTATATCTTCTTGAGTAAATGAGGACAGCTTTAAGCAGCTACATTGAGCGCCAAGAAAAATGTCACTTGAACAACAACTCGAGTTATTTTAACATACTTTACCGAAATTAAATAGGCTAGGGTATAAATCAGTTCTGGCTCGTGAACACGGGAGGAAAAATTAGCAAGAGCCGCAGTGATCTCGGGTCTACTTGTCCTCTGTTTGAAAGAAATACACTGAAATTCAGTCATGTATTTGAACTGCGTGATAAGATTTAAACATTGCTCTAGTAGTGTTATTTTCTTGTCAAATTTCCTAGGTACGTTTTCGTCATTCACTGCGGATAACTGTAGTTGTTTACTCTGCGCTGTATGAAGTGGTCATTCGTCTATCATTTCTGGATCGTATTGGAATTTGCAAATGTTGGTTAAACCATAGTTCCCGGTGAAGAAAAACCTCGCGGGGGATGGGCCAGAACCAACACTGAAAAAAAATGCGGGAGTTAACGTTCCAGACAAACGGCGGCTGTTAACACAATACTCATACTTTATGTTAACGCTTCGTGACTATTTCTGCCAAATTGTTCCTTTAGATAGAGCTGTATTAACACAAGAAATGAAAGATCTTTTAAAATTATCTGATTTGGTTTCTAAAATACATCAAGTTGATGCTCGATGAATGATTTACCTAAACAACTAGCAGTGTTTTTCAGTAAAGTGTAGCTGGGTTGCTGATAGAGGCCTCGTCTTTTTCAAGCGTTGAAAAGAGAAGTAAGATCTAAAATTTAAACAACAAAACAGGTAAGCGGTTCAGGCAGAGATGATCTTCCATGAGATTGCGCTGCATTTCGCGTTAAAATTTTTACATCCGTCATGGAGTTTGTTGTTAGCGAATCACGAGGCCCAGGGGAAAACCGAGTTTTACTTTAATTATATTGATGTATCAAACTGTCTAGCCAAGAGCAATGGATTTAATGCAAAAGAAAAAGGCGAAAAAAAAAAAAAATGAGAATGATAAGAACACTGGGAAGTAGCAGTAATTAAAGATGTACCGCGAGCGCACTAAACACTGTAACGGGTCAGTTCCTCATAAGCTAAAACACGTTCGTAGGAGTGATCAGCTGCAAAAGAAGTTATCACTTAACACAAACATGTCTCGTTTCTCTTTAAAAGCTCAACAGCTTTCTTCAGGTTCATAAGTAAGTTGGAAGATTGGAGCTAAGTTCAAAGATGTCAGGATCTACGGTTCGACTTGCCACCGTGGTGTCCGTCCTTGTTTTTTTTCTTTACAACAAGCAGAGTTCAGCCCATGTTTGGCACCCAAAAAAGGCACAAGTGACCAATTTGCCTGATAACCCAAAGGATCCCTTCTATGCGAGTAAGTCATTTTTTTTCCAAGCCGTGTGTTGTGACTTTCATTCGTGCTAGCTTCAGCTGACATCTCGTCCCCACAGCCGTCTCCTTTTCAATATCGCAGCTTTAGAAGACCGTTGGAACAACTCCAATAGTTTCTAAGATTCGTTTTACCCTCTTGGTTCTTATATATAACCATTTATTGATAGTAAAATCAACTTAATCACGATACAGGTTTTGTCAGTAACGAGTTCCAACGAGAACCTTTATATAATAGTAAGTCGTATATTATGTGAGTCCAATGCAAAATTCCATAGCATGAATTAAACTCTTAGTCGTTTCAAATTCTCTATAAAGTTATCCAGACTGTTTCTTGGTCCTCTTGATTTTAAATCTTGTTTTTCTTTTGCAGAGTTTGAAACAGTCCCCTCCATCAACGTCACTGCAGATAAGTTTATCACTAAGTTTTTGTCTATAAAGCCGACGAATACACGCCGCAAGAGGCAAGTGGGTACCCTTATTGATAATGTGATCGTCATAGATGGTTCCGGGTCAGTTGGTGACTGCGAATTTAAAAAAGGAAACGCAGGAATGAAGAATTTGATGGAGACTGCAAATGCAGTAGCGGTCGAAGAAGGGATTGACGAGAAGTATGCTGCAGTTACCTTCTCCTCCTTAGCCAGCGTGAACTTCAAGTTTTTACCATACTCTATAGCGGAGCAAAAGTTTACCATGATAAAGTACCCCGCTGGCAGCACCAACACTCAAGCAGGATTAGCAGAGGCCATGAACCTGTTTTTGGAATCTTTGCAAGGTATATGTTTCGCTGTGACTAAATTCCCGCCAGTGTGAAAACTATGTGGAAATATTCCCGAAATTCGTTTCACTGAGGACTTGAAAGTATTCCATCTTCAGTTAACAGAATTATTAAAAACAAGGGTGGCTTCGCAGCGAAGCTGGTTTTGGTTCCTAGGGCACCCAGCCAAATTGTCGAGTAAAAAAAAAAAAAGAAAAGGAAAAAAAAACGTGTGTCAAGAGGCTGGGCTTCCCGGTATATAGCCACAGCGTTTAGTTAATTAACACCGCAAAGGATATACTTCCATGACTGCCTCTCTAATAAATCGCATATTTTATTTGTTCCAGGTGGACGTTTTGCCAATGATAAGAATGTTTTACTTATCACTGACGGCCAATCAAATGTCAAACAGCGCGAGACCAAACCCGCAGCCGACAGACTGAAGGCATTGGGAGTCCAAATTTACGTATTTGCTGTCGGATCTTACATTTCTGGTATAGGCGAGATGGTACAGGTTGCCGGAAGCAGTTCCAGTTCTGAGCCAGATGATTTCCTTTTCAGAATAGAGAACTACAATCAAATGTGGGAATTCAGCAAACTGGTTGTAAAAAAAGTTGCATCCTCGGGGAAATACGTCAGTTTAAGCCCGGCACCTTCTCCTTGCTAGACAGGAACTTGTGGCCTTATAGCCTGCGAACACAGCCGTCTCTCCTTGCTTCTCGCCGCCAGGAACGTGTCACAGGAAAGACTTGCGAAACATCCCTAGCGGTGAGGAGCGAGGTGAGAAGGATGTATTCGCAGGCTGGTGGCCTTATGGTCGAAGCTTCTAAGTGCGCATTTAATTAATAGTTATAGGAATGTGTCTGTACAATTAGACTCGGTCTTTGATTGGCGCTGAAAATTCCTTATTAAAGTAATTTGCCTTGAGTTTATCATTTTCGTTTCTCCCCCCTTGCGAATTTTTTTCAGCTTCAGTAGCCTGACCAGCCTGGCTTATTTAATCAGGCCCTCATTTAGTAGTCTTAGGTACTTAGTGGAACATAACTGGGTGCTTAGAACATGTTGAGTTGTATAAGAACGCGGGTAAAAGAAGGAAAACTCTTGCAAAATTAATCCCAGGCGAGTGCTTCTCGCACTGACCGCAAACTAACGTAACCTTTAAAAGGTACTTTCCATTTCTTTCGTGCATAAAGCGTAGAGTCCCAGAAAATAGTGGCCACTTTTCACAATTAATCGTATTATTTTTCCTTGCTTAAAAATCTAGCGATCCTAACAGGAGTTAAGGCAATCAATGTTGTCTTTTAAAGTATGTCACAAATTATGTGTGATACAACCGGTTCCTTTAAGCTTTAGTTGTTCACTCCCTTGAAAGTATATTTGATTGATACAGGTCAATCAATAACGAAACGAGTAAAATAACAAATGAAAGCAAAAGAGTTCGCTGTTCTTTAAGTTAATCATAATGTTCACTAACATGCTCCTGTTCGGCATGCATTTCCCACAAACTCAAGGTAACAGGGAAATTAGTGTTTCTGTTCTGACGCTCTTCCCGCACTTGTGATTCGACTTCCGCAGGGTAAAGCCTATTTAGGAGTCTTGTCATCTCCACGACTCGATCTCCACTACACACTGTTACAACAGCTCCTCTGTGGTAGCCATCTCGTCCTGTAATGAGAGATATTGACGGCTCCTATACTCCTCAAACATACTCCAAAGTTGTCTCGGCGCTTTGTCCTTGTAGACGCAAACAGCATCTCCGATCTTAATCGTTGGCTTCTTGTTACTCGAATTGCAATTGTAATGAACACGTAATTCTGTTAAGTATTCCTTCTGCCAACGTTTCCAAAAATGTGAAAGTAAAGTGTTCAATAAGCTAGAGACTGTAGGTTTGGCTGATTTCAGTTCGCAAAACTCTTGACTCAGCTCCTTGACTTCTACATTTACAGACTGGATTGGCCAGTAGGCGCTTTCCTTAGACAGGAATTCTGGACCATGTAACCACAAACTGCTTTCTTTGAGTGCAGTGGCCTTAATTCCTCTTGATGTAATGTCAGCCGGATTTTCTTACGTAGGACAATACCTCCATTGCTTACGCGGTGCATTTTGTCTGATTTCGCTCACGCGATTTTCCACAAATTGTTTCTATTCCTTATCAGTGTTTCTAATGCACCACAAAGAAATCATAAAATCCGTCCAATTGACCACGTCATCAACTTTCACAACGTTTTCTAAACCTTGTCTCACACTCTTCTGCAATCTTGACGCAGTAAAGTTAGACAGGGGTGCTAGACGCGGTATCGTTTGCTCATCCAACGGAGCGACTCGGGTTTTTGACGCCACAATCTCACATTCTACTCTTGACTCGTACTCGGCTCTCATGTAAACAACGGCCCCGTACGCCTTTTCCGACGCATCTGCCACTGGACGAAAAAAACGGATTTACCTCTATAGCAAATTTGGAGCAAACCATCCGCAAATGCCACATTTGTTAATTTTGCTCAATTTTGCGGCAAAGGTGGTAAATGCCGTATTTGCCTCAAATTCGCCCCGTGTGTAAAAAGATGGACAGCCTTTACTTTATCAAGGCATTTACAGGGTGTCAAACTTGATAGTAAAACTGACATTTGTCAAGTTTTTGCCCAAATGGGCAAAAGCGATCGAAGATGAATTTTTGAACTCTTTTGCTCTCTTTAGCAAATTCGGTCAAAGTAGTAATTTCCCACATTTTTGCTAAATGTAGTAAATCTGACCAAAACTCATTTCTCAAACGTTTTGGCCAGGATAGTAAATCTGAGCAAAAAAATCATCTTAATTATGTTTTGCCCAGTGTAGTAAATGAGGTCAAATTATCACTTCTTCTGTATCTTTGCTCAGTGTGGCAAATATGATCAAAATAGTCGTTTTCCACTGTTTTGCTCAGGGTAGCAAATTTGGCCAAATACCACCTTATTCTCAATTTGCTCAGGGTGGCAGATATCATCAAAACAGTAGTTTCCCATACGTTTCCCAATTGTAGCAAAGTTGATCAAATATCAATTCTTCCTTATCTTTGCTCAGGATGGCAAATATTACCATAAAGCAGTTTTCGATACTGTTAAGTTTATTAAAATATCACTTTTTTAAACTATCGCTCAAGATAGCAAATTTGATCAAAACATCATTATCCACATATTTCTTATTTTTATTTGGTACCATAACTGACTGACACACAATTTAGACACCAATCAAAATTTCAAGAATAAAATGACTTTATTATCTTTAATATACACTGTACAGTAAAAAGTAAGTTCCATTGGCCACTGCAGGGCACTGCATGTATCACAAAATGTATGCCTTTAAATAAAAAGCACATACATTGTGAGACGAATTAAATTCATACGTGTATAAGAATATACATTGGGCTCGAAAGTACAAATCAACACTAGCTGGTTCATGATTATCTAAGGTTGGCACAGGGTAAACGTAACTCCGTTTGAGTGGTATACTTCAAATATACTCTTTCTAGTTTCAACTGATACTATTGGCAAATGGTTGTAAGATAACAACACGTACACATCACTCCCAATGCAGGTGTGACATCGAATCCTTACTAATTGGCAGAACATCAACCACAGGAAATAAAATTAGCTTCAAATTATTATGATAAGTGATATTCCTCAAATAATGATTTATAAGAACTTGTTTCCATCTGATAAATATTATCCACTACCCAAAATAGGCAGTGAATATATATTTGCACCTCGCCATATATAGTGTATCTAGTGCTATTCACTGGCCCCAAGGGGAGATATGATTCATTTTTGACCAAATCAGTTATATAAAAATATCGTTTGTAAATAAAATGTGTTACTATGCGAAAGCTCTGTGCATTTCTATGATTTGGGTACAACTTCGTCTTTTTTTTACCCAGCAGTGAACAATACAATACAATACAATAAGAGTTTATTGTGAAAATACACTTAGCTACAATAATGGTGTGCTTTCACAGACACTTATAAGGTCAATTTTGTCACCTTTTTAGCATCATGTACATGTATTTTATTTTACAGGTGCTTCATTCACTGTTAAACGCCTAAAACTAGCTTGAAATGGCACCCCAGTTTTACTCTCATCCTATAAGTAGCCAAAAGCTTTTCAAGTTATGGAAGCAAATCTGCTATCCACTGATTTGGTTAAATGCTTGTATTATTATTATTATTATTATTATTATTATTATATTACTGTGAATAATATGATTTGGTGAAATTCTTGTATTATTATAAGACCATTACTAAAATCAAATGATTTTCTAACAATTTGAGCAACTTTTTTCTGATTTACATGATCAGCTGTTTTGCTTGCAGTATTGGACTGATTAAATATCCAAATTATTCAAACACAATCTATACACTATGAAAGTTCTGTAGAACTTCTTTCATTCATCATTATTATTATTATTATTATTATTATTGGCATGCAGGTGATTAAAATTTAAGCCATGCTTATCAAAAAACCGTTATCCCACACGGTATTTTTCTGCATAAAACATAACTGCACTCTTTTCTCATAAGATATGCCAAGAACAAAATAGGATAACTGCATTTGGAGTCCGGTATAATTATTCTACCACGGGGTGTATTGGCTAGATTTAGTCTTCGGAGTGGCACTAATTTTAAGGCAATGCTTAAGGTAGCCCTAGGAAAGTGGATGCAGATGTATCTCCAATTACACATGTTGGGTGAATAGACACAGCGACTGAAAATACAGCTGCATTTACAGGCTACTAAAAAGAAGCTTTTAAAAGTCAGAAAAGTTGCCAAGTTACAGAGTGATTCGGTGTAAACTAACAAAGACAGCTCTGCAAGTTAAGGGCAAGTTTGTGGTTCCACCGTACCATACAAAGGTCATTGAGATTATGCCACTTTGTGTCAACACTTTATCCTGACCTAACCCTAGATTTGACCAGCGTAAGGGAAGATTCAAAAAGCCCCTTCCCTCACCTGCACTTTATGCTGGCAGTGAAGAGTGTACTGTGCAGTGTGTCTTTTGCAAGAAAAATCACAAGTCCATCACCTGTAGTACCATTACTTTTACCGGATAATGTCAGACGCAGTGAATCGCTTCCTCCCTTTGAAGTCATTCCGTGTCCATTCCTCTGATAAGCCCTGGATCTCGCCAAAAATAAAGTTCTTGGTCGCGCTGTCTCGGTTTGGCAAGAACTCCCCTGCATTTAAAATGTGGAGAAATAAAGTGCAAAAGGCAATTACATCTGCCAGGAAGTTCTATTATGATACCAAAGTTAATGGGCTGAAAGACTCTAATGTGGGGAAATGGTGGAAGGAAGTTAAAAACCTCGCTGGTATATCGGACGACTCAGGTCAGTGGTATTGTCAGCTAGTTGACGGAGATGTTGTCGATTCTGTTGCTACCCTGTGCGACAGTATTAACGACTTTTTTGTAAACCTCACCCGGGAGTTTGTACCCTTGACCCCTGATGATGTGGCCGGCATTGCCGTAGAGTCTGTACCAACTGAGTTGCTCACGACACCCTGGGAAGCGGAGAAGGCCTTACGCGGGATCAAGATCAAGAAAGCCCCAGGACCGGATGGTCTCCCGAACGTTGTCCTAAAGGCATTTGCGTACGAACTTGGCCTGGTCATCAGTGACATGTATAATGCTTCACTTCGGCAAGGCTTTCTCCCGCCCCTGTTGAAGAGCGCTGTTGTGAGACCTCTCCCGAAGCAGAAGCCTGCGATGTCTGTTGAAAAGGACATTAGACCAGTCTCGCTGACGTGTCAAGTTGCTAAAGTGATGGAAAGCTTCACTTTGGTTAGATTACTACCTGTATTACTTGACAAACTTGACCTTAAACAGTTTGCTCTTTCTGGTAGATCGACCTCTCAAGCGTTAGTGTACTTACTCCATCTTGCACTAGATGCGCTTGATAAAGGAAACTGTGCGTTATGTTTCTTTTTTGCAGATTTCAAAAAAGATTTTGATCTTATAGATCATCGAATTTTGCTTCGTAAGCTCTCTGGTTATGGGTTACACCTCTCCTTGGTGAGGTGGTTAGCCGCTTTTTTACAAGGCAGATCTCAGCGCGTCCAACTTGCAAACGTGTCGTCAGCTAGTAAATCCCCGAATGGTGGAATTCCCCAGGGAACCAAGCTGAGCCCCATTTTGTTTGTTGTCATGGTTGACGATCTGGTGCGTTCCTGGGGTCGTAGAATTAAGTACGTAGACGATCTAACAATATTGGAGGTAATTCCTCGCAACTCTCCGTCT